CAGTGAGGGCAGCAGTAGTGTGGACTATTTGGGAGGAAAAGGAATGGATGGATCTTCTATGAGAAGAGTAGATCAAAAGAGGAAATCTTTGAGGCCATAAAAATCAAAGCTATGCATTTGGTCGATGATATGTTAAGGACATGGAATGAAGTGGCTCATACATCTACAGAAAAGGAAAAAGTGTTTATGGAGTGGAAACCCCCAATTGTTAATAGCATTAAATTAACTTTTGATGGAAGCTCCATGGGAGGTTCCTGTTTGGCAGGTATTGAAGGTGTCTTTAGAGATGGTGCAGGCAGAGTGTTGGCCATGTTTTTGGGAACTTTAGGATTGGGAGACTCATTAAGGGCTGAACTGATGGCATTTCTACAAGGATTAAGATTTGCAAAGCAATCAAATTTCCAACATTTGGAAGTAGGAGACTCAAAACTGGTTGCTTCTTGACCCAGAAGTAAGCATCAAGTGCCATGGATCTATAGGCATGCTTTTAGGGAAATAGAGAACCTGTCACAGGAGCTGAATGTTTCGTTCAATTGGGTAAGGACTGTAAATGGGACGGTCGAAACTCTAGCAAAACAAGGGGTCTATAGACAGCAGATGTTTTGGGTACTACTGCAACTTTGTTCCAGAAAAATTAGACAGCAATTGTTTTTGGGTACTATTGTATAGGGGTTTAACCGAACCGTGGGGTATTTTTTCAAACCGAACTGATCTGATCGGTTTTTTAAATATGCAAACCGAAACCGAACTGATGTGGATCGGTTAACCGCGGTTCCGTTTTTTGGGTTTTTTATACACTTAAAATAAAGAAAAACTAAAACTGGTGCCGGACTGCTGGTGCCATTGGTGGTTGTTGGTGCCGGTGGTTGCCGACGAGTGTTGCCTGAACGAGAGACCGAGAGGTGGTGCAGCTGGTGCCTGGCGGAGACGCAAAGAAGAGAGGTGAGAGAGAGAAGAGAGAACTGAGAGAATTGAGAGAGTGAGAGAGTTGGTGCTTGCTTGCCGGACTGGTTGAACCGTTGGTGCTTGCTTGCCAGCGAGGCGGCGACCATCATTGCCGTGCTGGTGGTTGGCGTGGGCCGCACGACCTCTAGAGTGGAAGAGAACTGAGAGAGCGAGAGAAGAAAAAACTGAGAGAAATGAGAGAGAGAGAGAAAAAAAAAGAGTTGGCAGTCTGGGAAAGGCAAAAGAGGACTAGCAATCTGCCACTCTGGCAGAGGCAGACTGCCGAACTTTCAATTGAAACTTGAAAGGTTCAAATTTCAAAATAAAATTTGAAATTTGAACCTTAAGGCTGAAAGTCTCTTAGACTCATAGACTGCAGCTAATAAATCGGTACGATAGGCGACTAGGCATCGAATAAATGGAAATCTTTTATTCGATTTTCAAAAAACTAAAAAATATAATATATATAACATTATATTATTTATATAAATATATATTATTGTATATATCGGTCGGTTCGGTTAACCGTCGTTTTTTTTGAATGGTTAACCGAAACTATCGGTTTTTAAAGAATATTGAACCAAAACCGAACTGACTGGTTTGGTTAACCGATTTTTCGGTTCAGTTTTTTGGTTTTTTTTTACTCACCCCTACTATTGTAACCTTTATTGAGGATGGCTAACGTCTCATGGGAGGGCTGAAACCAATATGTTGTACCATTCGGTTTTTACCTCTTAATTAATTAATAAGATTCTTTGCTAATAAAAAACTATTGATACGACACACACCCGATATAGAGCATATTGCATTGGTATCGGTGCATACAGATATGGGATGCACTATGAACAAGGGCAGATCCCTTGAGTCATGCATATTGGGCCGGTACAGGCTTGTATTGACACGTATTGCATTGTATCAGTCCGAAACACATCTATACTATGCATCTGTGTCGTGTCTCTTTATTAAAAAAGGCTTATAGTGTGATTCAAGCCCAAGTCACTTTTATACCCAAATCTTAAATGCGACATTCAACCACTAAACCAACTTGCCTTTTTTGATAATAAATGAAATATAATAACTTTTATTTACTTTTGTGTCCACATGCAACCCAAACAAATACATATGTTTATGTTTAACAACTCCAACTAAAAATTAAAAAGAATTCAAAATTGATATATTATAAAGTAACGGAATAAATAATCTATCAAATCCACATTTATATCAAAAAATGATTTTTAATCTCAAGGAATTTATACAAAAAGTATTAATAATAGGATAATTATTTTAGTACTTAAAAATTTATAAATTTGCAAACAATAAGTATCTTAAAATATTTATATATTTTTATAAATTATTAATTATAATTTTAATTTAAATTGAATAGAAACAATTTACTATTTACAAAAATAAAAACATTGTTTACAAAATATTCGAGAATATAATATTAAAGCGAGTCTATCAAATCTACTAATCTACATTTATATAAAAAAATGATTTTTATTTCATAAAAATTATAAAAGTAAAAATTAATAATGGAATAATTATTTTAATAATTAAAAATTATGAATTTACATACTGTATGTATCTTAGAAATTCAACAATTTTGATTACATGTTTATTGTTTACAAAAATAAAAATATTGTTTACCAAAAATTTGAGAATTTAATATTTAGTTGATTTTTTTGTTAATGTTAAAAAGTAAAAATAGTGAAATAAAAAATTAATTGATTTAATAATTAAAATATAATAGTTGCATATGTAATAGAAAATAACAAAATAATGGCTTTGACGCTCTGTGCGTGTATTAATTTGTAAAAAACTATATAATGTGTCTTGGACTTTTGATTGATGCATTCATTATCAATAAAATTGTATGAAATCTATGCATCCCTCTCTATTAATTGTAATATATTTCTCCATATATCATTAAAATATACATTTCCTATGTATTCATACATAATTTATGGTTATTTTGACATGAAATTTAGTGTTATTAATGTCATAATGTGTTTATGGAATTTGTATGTATTTCCCTAGCGTATTCAAGCATTTCTGTATTTTTATTTCCAAAGTGTATCTGTATTGGAGTTGTCTGATACGATACCTAATACCGATGCTTTGATCCTTGTTTAGCATGTAAAACAAGACTATCCTTGTAAACACTCCAGGGGCCTTGGAAACTTCAAGAATCCAAATCGTCCACTCTGGATCCATGCAAACTAGAAATACCTGTGTGACATAACAAATTCATCTGGTATACTGAATAAAAAACTTTCTCTGGTTCTTCTTGATTTTTTGTTCAAAGTTTCAAAGCTTCTCTCTTGAGATCAACTAACCCTCAATAAATTCTTGAAACAATTATTTAAAGCTAGGCAGTTCAGAAATGAATAATATATCCAACAATTATCAGCCAACAGACTAGGAACACACTCCCCAAAAGGCCAAAACACTGTAGGGATAGTTCAAATATGAGTTGACGCTAGAATAGAGGGAGAAGAGGTGGTCACTTGCCCCTTGCTTCACAAAAAATCTCTCTATCACTTCCTCTGAAAAATATACGAGTGACTAAACAATTCCAAATGGCCATCTAGAAAACCATCTTTAGTGACCACAATCAAGAAGGAAGCAGATCTCTTACTTCCCTTTCATTTTGGGCATAGTCTCTAGGACATCATCCTATGTATCAAAAAATTCCTATAAGATTCTCCAAATTTTTTCTATAAATTATGCAATTTAAGGATGATAGATGATAACTATTTTAGGAATATGAAATTTCAATATATAATAACTTGTTAGCTTACATTTTTTAGTAATTTCCATAATTGCTATTTATAGTAAAGTCACAGCTTACTGCTTATTGTAAAACCAGATCTGATAACAGGGAATCCAAGAGAATGGAGATTTAGAATAGAGAGCTAAAACTAATTGGTCTAATAAGGAGGAGATCAAAAATACCAAGAAAACTAAACAAGAACTGAGTGAAAACTAACAAAAAATGATAGCAAAAGGAAGGACAAGACCAAGGTACCTTATTGTTCAGATCTGATCATAATCAACTTTAAATCTGATCACTGTCAACATCATTATCCTCATCAGAGTCTTCTTCTTGCTCTCATATCGTCTTATCAAATAATTCAGAAACAATTAATCAATGAATAACTAAAATTATGGTGGAGAAGAGAAAGAAAGAAGAGAAAATCAAATTATGGTGGTCATAATGAGCCCCACCTCTTATATAAATGCTGGAAATGTGTAAGATTAAAAAGCACCCCAAGTAAGGTGGCCATAAGAAGTGACCTATAAAAAACTAAAGTAGGGCTATGGGCCAATAACACTAAGTCCATAAAACTGAAAAAAAAAACATAAGAAAACTTCTATTACTACTTTAAACAGTATCCTGTGATAATTGAAGTTTTAATATTAAGCAAGCATAGGGATCATCTTTGCTGGGCTCAATTGTAATTTGCTATTGTTTTTGAGGCTGCACCTTGCACCTCTCTGTAGGAAGCTCATTATACAAGTTGATTGTTGTTTCTGCTATTTCTTAATAAAATCCTTTCTAATAAAAAAGGGCAGCCCAGTGCACGAGGCTCCTGTTGATGTAGGGTCTGGGGAGGGACAGATGTACACAACCTTACCCCTGCACATACAGAGAGCCTTACCTATCAAAAAATTTAAGTTTTAATATTAATAAGAAAGAAAATTGGTATTATGAAAGACATACTGATAAGTGACAACTGTGGAAATCTACAACCATTATAATGGAGTGCATATTGGTCATTGTTAAGTGGCCATTTTTGATTCCTTGAGTAAACCCATAAATAATTCCTTTGTTGGATAATGTCCAGTTGAGTCCATTTTATAATCTTTTATGAAATTGTGTATTGTATTTTGGGGAGGTACTTACAATAATTTTTTTTCCTGACAAAAAAATTGTAAGGCTTATTTTGATCTAGTTGCTTTAAATGAATATGCTTATGATTGCTTAATCCAATTACCCTAAACAATCATTTTTCTTTGGAATAATATGGATTAAGTTTTCTATCCATTGGCAGATAGAGACAATTTTTGAAGGTAAAGCTTGCACTGAAATGCGAGAATCTGCATTGAGCTTGACAAAGAAGCTGGCCCAGACAGCACAGGAGACCTTTGGTGATTTTGAAGAAGCAGTTGAAAAAGATGCAACAAAAACTTCTGTTTTGGATGGAACTGTTCATCCTTTGACAAGCTATGTAATAAACTACGTGAAATTTCTGTTTGAGTAAGTTATATTATTGTGCACTCGTATATTCAGTGTTTACTTCCAATAAGTACTAATCATTTCAGATAAAATAGTACTAAATTACTATTATTATTAATGTTGTTGTTGTTGTTGCCTTGTTGGTATATGCAACCAAAGAATCTATTATAGTTCAGCAAAGACCTTGGTGTTTCTTTGTGCTGATGGCAGTGACTTTTTTGATGGAGTGGATTCTAGTTCTCATTGAGTTGAAAGGATTTTGCTGTGAAGATATTATCTATAATGTGCTTAATGTTTTGGGTGTAGAGGGCAGTATATTCATTTTGGCTTTGGTTTTTTCCCGCTCCATACACAATAGTTTGTTAATAAGATATTTTTATTACTCATCAAAAAAATAACGATTACTGATTTTTTTCCCATCAAGGTTACTTTGTCCAAGTGAGTTTATGGTTTGAAATATCTTCTTTACACATTTTTTTAAAGGGGGTGGGGTTGGATTTATAAAGTGCTTTATGTTGAAGATTAATTAGTTTTATGATGTTTTTTTGAGTAGATGTTTTATGTTAGTTGTTAGATAGGAGGTGGGGACCACAGTAGTTATGTGAGTCCAAATTTTATTATGTTTTTTGAGTGTTATATATGCTGTTTTATGTTTTGCCGCCCTATAAGGGCATAGTTGTCTTTGCATTGTTCTATTCTTTTAGTATAAATAATAAGTGAAGGGGGCGGCTAGATTATTGCTCTCTTTTCTTTTCAACTTCTCTTCTTCTCTTCTTCTCCTTCTCTCTTCCTTTCTTTTCAACTTAACTATTGGCCGTTAAATTGATAATCCTATGTAATTGTGCTTTCATGGATAAACATGTATATGTTTTCCTGCTAATTTAAGTATTGAAGTTCCATGAATTTTCTTAAATTCCATATTCATATTGAATGATTGATGTAATGGCATTAGCTTTGGTATAGTTCTGATTGTCCAGACATATTGACCTGACAATGTTACACGAAATGTACAGTTACCAATCAACATTGAAGCAGCTTTTTCAGGAGTTTGATAGTGGAGTTGATGCAAATTCTCAGTTGGCAACTGTAACAATGCGGATAATGCAAGCTCTTCAGACAAATTTGGATGGAAAATCTAAGCAATACAAAGATCCTGCTTTGACTCAATTGTTTCTTATGAATAACATTCACTATATGGTCAGATCTGTACGCAGGTTTGTGTTTTTTTCAGCTTATATAATTAAAATATGACAAGCTTATATCTATGCTAGAACCAATTACTTTTAGCATGTTATGCTCAGGTCAGAAGCAAAGGATTTATTAGGAGATGACTGGGTGCAAAGACACCGAAGGGTTGTCCAGCAGCATGCAAATCAATACAAGAGGGTTGCCTGGGGAAAGGTTTTATTGAAAATCAAACTCAAGTATCTGTCTTTACTGAAATTTGATGTCAGTATAATTCTGACCCTTGGATCCATACCTAGAGTTTTGTCTATCCTTCTGTAGGAAGGATCTTCCCTTTGTCTGTTTTTATTTTTTATCTCTTTATAATCAATATCATCATGGATGCAATTTAGAATTTAATCAATTTACCTATATAGTTGATCTTTTGTCTGCAGTGCTTGTTCTCTTGAATTTTAGGTGTCTTTTTTTCATGTTTTAACCAATAAGGTTTTTCTTGTTGTTAATAATAATAAATCTATAGTTGAGCTTTTTTCCATATATGCACATATATTAATATCTTAAGCAATCTGCAGTGGAATTTGTTTTTCTCTATCAAGCATCTTTTTCTTGGCTTAAATTTGTTTGAATAGATTTTCATTCTTTTTCTTTTCAGTCTTGACATCTTCTTTGTTAGAACTGGATGCATACTCAAAATATTCATTGTTTTATTTAGAAAGAACTTATTGCATGCACAAAAGTTTCAAAGACCTCCTTTTCTTATCTATTAATGTTTGGGGGTTCTGAGTGGTGGTGCTTCTTCTGTTCTTCTAGTGGATTTTACATGTGGTGATGCCAGATTGATTCCTCCAGTAGCCCATGTAGAATATGCAACTTTACATTGATTGAAATTCAAGTTAACTAGCATTTCATGTAGAGCACAGTGTATGTGGTGCCTTAACTCCAGTAGAGGAGTCTGAAAGCCATGGAGGCATATCACTCTGTTTTGGGACTTAACAGTATGGGGTGGGCCTATTACATTTCTGTTATGTGTTTTTTTCTTATTACTGGGTGTAATGGGCCTGGGCTTATTGTGTCTTGTGTTTTATGTCTGTATCTTGGTGCCACCTAAGCAGGGGCATACTTGTCAATCCTTGTATTTATGTACTTTTTTCATTTAAATAACACCAAGGGGCTGGAGAGACTTAAGTTGCCGCCCATTTTTCTCCTCGAACTTTCTTCTCTTCTCTAAACTAGGGAAAAGAATCTTCACACTCAACCTCAAGACATCCAATGGGTGACTGCAAGACTGCAGGCCTATCAGATGGGGATCTTTGGCATGGAGATGGGGATCTCGATGCCCAAGTAGCATGGCCCTTGGCTGGATGTCCTTGTGATGTCCAAGGAACGATCACAAGTCCACAAGGTGAGGAGACAATAAAATATACTAGGCTTCATCTTTCTGCAAGTCTAAGTTCATGCTAATATCCATGACTAATAACCAAACCTGAGTAAATGCAGATCCCTGACCAGTCATTGCGTAAGCATTGAAACCATCGCTGAGTGAATTTGCTATTGGTGTCTTGGCATTATCAACATGTTATGGGTGCATTTCTTGGAATTGAAGGAAGATATGGAAAAAGATAGCAATAATTTATGGTAGTTTGTGAAGTAACTAGTCACAATGAAATGTATAGAGAGTTGTATTTATTGGTTTCAAGGAAGCAGTAATAGAGATTTTAATGCCAGCCTTTATTTTCATTTTGCATCATCGAAAGCAATCAGAAGCATTTTATGAAGGTATCAAGAAAGAAATGTATGGGTGCCTTTTGCCTAAGACGAGTAAATGGAGGACACAAGATAAAGTAGTTAATTTTTCATACAATACGAAGCAGTCCTACTACTCCCCAAGGCCTGAAGCCCCTCCCCCTTCAAGGCTAGGGAACCAGCAAAATTATTTGTCAAGTGCGACAGATCTTGCTTCTCTAATAATAGTACCCAGAGGCCATCAAAATTAACTGACAGCCAGCCAACCAAAACCGGGTCATTCTTTATACAATCAGATTTCTCCAACCCATTCAGTGACCAATCTTAAACCATGGAGCACCAAGAGCAGCTCAGTCCTCAATGTTCCAATTTCAATAGGCCCAGTCTAACCCAAACCATGCTTCCATTGCGGCCTTTAATATCACCCCCAATTCTTGATGAGCCTTGGATTTTCTATTGCACAATTTATCATAATTGAATTTTATGATACCATCATTCAGTTCCTCTAAAAATATCGTAGTTATCATGATCCTTCCTCTAGGCTCAGTTTGTTTGCAGTGTTAATTTCATTTGCATTGGTGTAAATGCATGGAGTGCAATTTGGCTGGGTGTATATTCTGGTTTACTTTTGCTTTAGATTTGATGTTCTCTTAATTTTGTGAGAAATAAAATTGTCTTTCCCGACCTTACATGGAAGAGTATGGAGGTAAGGCGAAAGTTACTTGTTTGGGAGTGAGGTAAGAAGCAAGATGATGTGATCAATTCTCTCATATGATGTAGGAGGGAAGGGAGGTGGTGCAAATATAGTTACAAACAAATGGATGCAAAATCGAACCAGGTGCAATATTTTTATCCAGTTCAGATTTGCACTGCAACAAACACAACAGCCCTAGGGGCAAAGCTTGCAACCACATTCCAGTTCCTTACAATTGAGTCTGTGGGAAATCCCTTTAAACTCATTCCTTGTTGAGACTAAGTTAATCACCTTTGCAGAAATTAGATCAATAAGGATATTTCTTTCATTCCAAACACTTCACAAGATTAGAGTCCTTGTGCAGCTCCACATGTTCCTCTCCCTCTGTCCATAAAGGCAAGGAATTAGAGGAGAAAAGCTCAATGGTATCTGCTGGCGGCTATAGGTGTTGATTGGTCATATTGAAAGAACTGTTGTTGGGTAGATCTCCATCCTGAAGGAATTTGCTAATCTTCAATTTCCTACTTCTGTAATGGATGGAATTTTATTGTATTTGGCTCTTGAGGGGATGTGTGATTGGTATTTGTTTACTAGCACTTTGGCTAGCTTGTTTCTGGGTTTTGCCTTTATAAATTACCTTAATTTTCATAAAAAAATCTTCTATTTGTGCTTTTAATGTCAGTTTTCTTCTCTTGCAGGAAAGATTTGGCCATATATATGGATGTACTATTTTATTTTTAGTAGGCAATTAAGTGAATGGAAATTACTACTTAGAATTTTGTGTCTTTGGTGGTGTGACCCCATCAACCTAGGGGCCATTTGACAACAGCTGAAGTTGCTGAACTGAATGACTTATTGCTTTGTCTTTTAGTGAACAAGTTATTTAGGAGGCTGCAAGTTCCTTTTTTTTATTGGAAACGGTAACTTTCATTAAGAATATTAAATAAACATCTCACACTGTCAACCACTCAGACAAAGAGTGTTGACCCCAAAATAACATCAAGAATTACAGTACTGCCCAAAATAAGTTTTCCCTGAAAGTCCCCTGTTTTGCCAAGCTATTTGCCACAGAGTTTGCCAATCTCCTTACCCATTTGAATGTTACTCCAACTTCCCTTACCAAGCAGATTATTTCCCTTATTTGTTGTCTAAATTTCCACACCCAACTTCTTTGTTTGCAGCCACTCTATTAACAATTTAGAGTCTCCTTCCACCTCCAAGTTCTGAAAYTCCCATTGCTTGGCAAATCTCAGGCCTTGTAGGAGAGCCAAAATTTCAGCTCTCAAAGAGTCTCCCACTCCTATGGGACTAGAGTAAAGTGCCACCATTCTGCCCTCCCCGTCCCTAAAAACTCCCCCAGCTTCTGAGGGTCCTAGATTACCCATGGAGCTTCCATCAAAATTCAATTTTACCCTTTGTTGTGCTGCTGGTGTCCAAGAGGGCTGAATGACAGGTTGCCTGGTTGAAGAGTTTGCCACTGTTGACCAGCCCCTTTGTATTATCATCCATTGAAAAATCTTTAAATAAATCACTTACTTTCCGCTAATGTATGACTTTAATGGCTATACAATCAATGATTTGTTCTGTTGATCTTTGCGCCCCTTGGAATATTTTGTTGTTCCTTTCTTCCCATAAAGACCAAAGAATGGCTGCTCCTGTTGCCCTCCACATCACTCTTCCCCTTTTCTTTGAAAGTTGGAAGAAACTTGGGTCGAAAAGACTTGTCACATCTGGGGGAGTAGTCCACCTGCAGCCAAATAAGGAAGAAAACCAATCCCATACACAAGAAGCAAAGGGACAAGAAAGTAAAAGATGTGTTACTGTCTCACCATTTCCCATATAAAGGCAACAAGCATGAGGGGAGAGGCACTGAAGGAGGGCAGAGAAGGAGGCACAGGTATAGGAGTCAAAGGGGGGGACACTAACCAGATCCTGCTGTCATGACAAGATAGGTCTAGGAATGTTGTATTAAGAAGTGAGACTAGTTCATCTACTAGGTCCATTTCACGATCCCTTAACCCTCTTCTTAAACCTAGATCCCAAGAATTTTCATTAACAAGCATTGAAAAAATCACTTTCCCTTTGTTGAGGGACAGAGAATAATTAGGTGGAAATCTGTCTTTGAGAGGAATGTCCCCAAGCCAGATATCCTCCCCAGAAACGAATTTTATTACCCAAACAAGCATCATACCTGACCAGCGGAAGGAAAGAATGTAGCAAACTGTGAATTTCTTTCCATGGAGAAGCCCTTGTTGCCCTAGGATCAAGACCAGCGTCCCATCCGTTGTCTGCCATGCCATGAATGCTTACAGTTACATTATGCCATAAGTTCTCTTGTTCCAAAGGAAACCTCCATAGCCATTTACCCAGTAAAGCCATGTTTCTAAGCTTGATGTTTCCTAACCCTAAGCCTCCACTATCCCTACTCTTTGAAACCACCTCCCACTTTACCAAATGATCCTTTTTTGTATCCCCTGACTCCCACAAGAAGTCTCTCATCAATTTCTCTAGTTTATTGGCCACTTTTATGGGGATCTTAAAGGTTGAGAGGTAATAGACTAGCAAATTAGTCAATGTGTACTTTTTTAGGGTTATTCTACCCCCTAGAGATATGTAGTTTCTCTTCTAGCCAGCAAGCCTTTTTGTTAATCTAGATCCCAGAAGCTAACTGAAGTCGGGTTCCCCCCAAGGGTACTCCAAGGTATTGTAGAGGCCAATCACCTACCTCACATCTCAACAAACTAGCTAGGCTTTCCACCTCTCTTCTCTCCCTATTTATACCTGCTACACAACTTTTTCTCTAGTTTACTTTGAGATTGGAGATCCT